CATGCACATTCTTGGGCCACACCCAAGATCTACTGCACCAGAAACTCTGGGGGTGAGCCCAGCAATCTGGGTTTAACAAGCCTTCCAAATGATTCCTATACACCTGAAAGTTGCGGAACCACTGGTTTAGATTCACCTGGGGAGCTTTTAAAACTAAGTTAGGCCCAGCTGGGCATGGACTCAGCAGTTGAACATCGACCTGGGATCCAGGAGACGGCAGTTCAATTCCTGGTCAGGGCACATGCCTGCGTTGGGGGCTCGATCCCCAGTCAGGGGTGTGCAGGAGGCAGCCGATCAATGACTCTCTCATCATTGATGTTTCTCTCTCTCTGAAATCAATAAAGATACTTTTTTAAAAAAAAAATTAAGTTAGAACTTCTGGGGATGGGGCCAGAAACACTGGTTGGTCTGTTTCTTAATGTGGTTCCAAATACATGCTCAGCATACGGACTGACACTTTTCCGAGTGTTTCTTAGGAATGATGGAGGCGGAAGCATGCGGTGTTGGGAACTGAGCTGGAGGAAAGAGGAGCTGGGTGCTAGGCCTTGTTCTGCTTCTGACTATCTAGAGGGCTCTTTCTTTTAAGATCCAGTAAAATGTATAGACAATGTATTAACAATAAAATTTATTAAGAACCTACTCTATGCAGGTCTTTAAGAGACTGGAGAACTATAAACTAAAATCTCTGAAACCTCTTTTCCAAAGACTCCATTGATCAAGAACTACAATGCACCCGGCGAGCGTGGCTCAGCAGTTGAGCATCGACCTAGAATCCAGGGGATAGCGTTCCATTCCCGATCAGGGCACATGCCCGGGTGTGGGCTCCATCCCCAGTAGGGGGTGCGCAGGAGGCAGCCAATAAATGACTCTCATCATAATGTTCCTGTCTCTCTCTCCCTCTCCCTTCCTCTGAAATAAAAAAGGGCATATTTTTAAAATATATATATAATGCATAACCACAGAGGAGAATGCTTGTCACTTCATCCTTTCACAATTCAATAAATAGTCAGTGAAAGTGCTGGGTGTGCACTGTAGTCTTAGAAGGCTTCCAGCAGAAATGTACACTAAGAGCTTACAGATCTGTAAAATGAACCAGGAGCTATCAAAAGTGTTCATAAAGCAGAGGTTTTCTGTGTCATAGCACAGTAACATTAAGATAGAGGTACGTTAGGTCAAAAATCTATCAACTAAACTATGGATAGCTGGGTGAGATTTTCACCAAAACATTGTTTTCTGGTCTCAATCTTTCCTTGCCTTCCTTCCAAGATAGACACGCTTTAAATCTCTCTACAATCTGTGTGCTGAAAGTAGCGGGAGGCTCATGGGGTCAAAAACTCATCTGGTTTCCCACCCCTAGTACTGTAATCCGCTTCCAGTCTTCAGGGGGAAAGAGAACAGGATCCTGAGGAGGCTGCAAACCCACCCAATTGGGAGCTGAAGTTCAATGATGCAAACTCTACCTACAGTGACAAAAACAATTTTCCTTTTCAGTTTATTTTTTTCAACAAATACTGAGTGCCTACTATGCGCAAGCACTGGGGAACGGAGATGAAGACAGACATTTTTGCTGTCCTGGCACTTATCATGTAGCAGAGGAAAGCAGCAATAAGTAAGCAAAGCAACCTCACAAATCGCACGTGTGTGCAGCAGAGAAAATAAACAAGGGCAGTAAGCTAGTGGTTGAGGAAGGGTGGTGGGTATTAGAAGTCACCTAAAATTGGGCTTCATTATGGGCAGGCAGCATGGGCTGTTAGAAAGACAGGAGACAGATCTGGTAAGGCGTGGAGACCTGGGTTCCAGTTCTAGATTCACAACTAACTAGCTGTAAAGACCTTTCTTTTATTTAAACAAACAAACAAACAAACAAACAAAAAATGCTTAGAATCAAGGCGTACTTCATTTAGCTGAAGTATGCAGCTGGGCCAACTGACTTAGACACCTTGGGCCTCAGTTTAATTATCCATGAAACAGGAAAATCATCATATTAACCCGCCTTGTTGGGGAAACTGAGATCACAAATGTAAAAAAGCTTGCATTAAAACATTAAAAGCAATATACAGAAACACAATGCAGTTAAGAAAGCTAGATTTGAGCTTAACTAGTAAACATGTTGAGGGCAAGGCTGTGTATTACTCATGGTTGTGTCCCTAATAAATCTGTCTCAAACACTGCCTAAGGAAGATGTAGTTTTCTGTAACAAACTCTCCGATCTCAGTCGCAAGGGTTAGCACCTCTGAAATTTCGCTTGCTAACATGACCAGTCAGCTAAATTAAGATGGCAGATCCTTGCATGAATGTAATTACAGGCTGTGAATGCCTTCTCTATGCACCTAGCTATTACTTCAGCAATTGGCCATAATCTGTGTCATCGTATAAAACAATGATTTAGCTGATGACTCTAAACAGCTACTCTCTTAAGTCAAATACACCACCTAAACTCAGAAACAGCTATAAAATTACACAAACCACAAGTTAAGGATAAATGAAGATAGTGTTAAGGTGTCACATTCCTGAAACTCATTTTCGTCAATAAAATACCCATGGAGAGAAATGGGAATGTGGTCCATGATCATGGAGACTTTTGGACAGACTAAGAAGTGGTGTTTGGTGGGAGTGACTACGGGTAGAATTAAGTGAGCTCTTCCAACAGCCATCATGTATGACATAAAACTGGACCGAACCAATTTCTGTTTCCCTATTCAAGTGGTTTTATTCTCCTTCCCCTCCTCCCATCCCCTAAATTTCCGAATCTTCCATTAACACACAGTAGCACCAGCCTCAAGTCCAGTAGTTTTCTTCTTTCCCTCAACAGCGCTGATCCGGACCTAAGACCCTAAAACAGAGGAAGAAATACAGTCTGCATTCTGACACTCAAAACATTCAAAACAAGGGGCATTTTGATGCAGCTGTTCTGACTCGGTTGTTTTGAAGTGGGACTATTTTGACCCAATCTAAAACTCCAGTGTGTCCATCTCGACCACTATCCCAGTGAGGATATAATAATGGAAGTGCCGATTGTGCATGTTAACTGGCAATGAAAAAGAAAAAAGGTTTACATTTTCATAGGCCATTGTGATGCAGCCTCGTCACAAGCAAAGATACCCTGGCCAAGTTCTCGAAGCTGCTTTGGAGCCACTGTGGCAATGTTCCTCTACGGCAGCTCCTCGAATAGTGTTTCATTCAGTGTCATTTAGTTATAACGTTGGAACTTGACTCGTTTCTATCAATTAGCCTATGTTAAAGTGGATTTCATTATACTTAAAGTTGTTGAGGACTTACTGTATAAAAATAATAAACCTAGGGTGAGCCATGCCCAACAGCTTTGTGCTTCCAAGTACTAACTGCTGAACTAACTCAACGGCTTTCCCCGCTGGCTCTGGAAGCCCTTAGAGCCAGGTGGCTGGGAGAGGGCCAGTTCCACCCAGTACTCAAAGGGCTGCAAGGGTTTACAAACCAGCAAGGAAACATGCAATTCAAGGCTTTTCTTGGAAGTCCACCTTGAGTCGACTATCATTTTTTTCCCCTAAATTTTTCAGAAGCAGCTACTGAGAGTGTATTTCTTCCAAGAAGCCTTCTAACAGACAGTACATGAGCATTCCTTAAAGCTCACATACATGGCTTTATTCCAATTTTACTCTTTTTAAATGGGGTTACTCAAACAAATGAGACTACATCTACTGTGTCTATGGTCTGCTGCTTAATGGCTTGATTCCACTGTGCAGAAGACAGTTCTTAAAGTTTGCTTCAATTATCTACCTTTAGGGCTGGAATGTAGTGGTACCTCTGCAGATGCTTTTCCTCTGGTTGGTTAGGGCGTCAAAGACCAGTGTTAGGAAGTTGCAGTTACATGAAAATGTGTCATAAATAGAAAAAAAGTTTCTGTGGCTAAAAGAACCTCATCTGGAGAAATGTTGATCAGTAACCCCGCCTCCCTAAATAGTTTAAAATAATTAAGCCCTCTTGTTTTACGTCAGGGTCTTATAAGGACAGTCATGAAAGGAAAGCCTCTCTGGGAAAAAGGGACCCAAAAGAAGCAGGTTCTGCTCTAATGAAGAGGGACAGCAAGGATCCCACACAAGTCTGAGCAGATAGCCTGCAGCTGGTGTGGCTGACAGGGTACAGGGTGGTAGTCAGAAATTCAACTTAGTTCTCCAGCTCTCACCAGGAAAGACGGTGACCTGCAGAACGTAACCGAGGTCCGGAACTAACATCGCAGTCACAGTAACCATACCCGTTCAAAGGAAAGCAGGCCTGGATCCAAGGGAACACTTACACTGGGGTCCGGGAGGATGGAAAAACAGGATAGATTAGGGCCATTTTTACCTTTTCCCTTTGGTACGCAAGAAATGAGCTTCCCTTCTTTCATTAAAAAAACTACTTACAATGAAGGAGTACTTAATTTAGCTGAAGCGTGCACGCAGGCTGGGGAGAAGCGCAGTAGGCTGTGTAAGAATGACTGGCGTTAGCCGACACAAGGCCTCTGAAGGTCTGTCCGCATTGGTGTTAGTTTTAGAAAGTTCCTGGAAGGCAAAGAATGTGTTTGTAGCACTATGGCTTGTGCAATTACTATGTGTTTGAAGAGGAAAGACTAAACCTCCAGGGAAAAGATGCTAACCTAGCTGGCCAATACTTTCAGCCACTATTATCTCCAGGGACCACTGAAATGTCAGACAACCACTTAAATTACATGGACAAAGCCACAAACCCACAGAAAACCCCGCATCCTGAGACACACTGCTTGCCTGCTACGAATTTCCCCCTCAGGGAGACAAGGAATTGACGCTGCAAGCTGGCAATGAAATAGGCTGCTTGTGCCTCAATCCAGTTTACTTCTTGAAGGAGTGGGGCAGTCATGCTTTCGGCTTAATCCAAGACTCACAAACAATACACAGAGCAGAAAACTCTCCCGGATCCTGAACTCTGCTTTTGCTATGTGAGGACGCACATGTTAAATCTTCCATATGCTTGAGAACAGAAATCTGAACCAGCAAACAACAAAGGCCATAGCACAAAATTTATTGAGATTATTCACAAATAATTCATATATATCCAACATCACTGAATGGAAATAATGTTAATTAATTCATTTTTTTTAATAGCAAGGCTTCCACTGGGGTCTTCCAAGACAGTCAAAAACTTATTGGTGACATATCTTTAACAAGCAGAATGACCTAACTAGTGAAGTCAGGTGTATCTCAATCAGTTCCTAAACTTGATATTGCTACGTTTTTCTACTTAAAAAGCAAACAAAAAGCATAATTTAGTAATTATTACGTTTCTTGGTTCTTGTTCTCAAATGCCACAGAAAGATATCTGATGAAAGGAAGCAAAGCACCTAGTCTCACCAATCTTTAAAATCCTTAAGTTACGGCTGCTTCCACAATACCAATGTAAATATTTATTGAGGTCCGCATCTGACGGGCTCCTTCACGCCTGTGAGTAGGAATCACTCAACCCTTAAGTCTTTGCTCCTGCTTTGCACTATAGCCATTTGGTTAAATGCCCATAAACCCTCTGTCCTGGCTGGACCGACCTACTAGATAAGAATTCTTTCAACCTCTTCCAAGAAACCAAGATGTCAATATGAATTTTGGTGGCTGATATGTTAGAGTACTTATGGATACTTTGTTTTTATAATGGCAAATACATTGTAAATTCATCATTGATAAGTGAATTTCATAACACATAGAAATAAATAAATCTATTACAATACAGAGGTGGGCAAAAGTAGGTTTACAGTTGTGAGTGTCTGTGGAAGCTAATAAAGCTATTGTAATAATGATGACCTGCATGTCTTTTTCCATATGAACAGCTATAAACTACTTCTGCCCGGCCCCGTATAAGAATATCCACAAATTGTCCTCACTATTCCCAATTGTTCTAAATATAAAAATTTAATTATATTAATAATTATACAAAGTCAAAAAGGTGAAGATAAGAAACATTTTAATAAGTCTCATAGTAAGAACCGCTGAATACCACTTGGCACTGGTGATGGCAGAAAAAAAGAAAGGAGAAAATTCCTCAGAGATGTTTAAAGGAAGAATAGATTTAAGAAAAAATTTCTTTGGGCTCTACAGCCTTCTTTTTTATTCTGTACCTTTCCATGCTTCAACATGATGCCAAAAAAAGAATTTACTGAATAAAAGTAGCCAGGAAGGGAATCAAACATTTATAAGATATATTTATTTTTCTGACCAAAGTGCAGTGATTTTTAAATCTTCTTAAACAAATAACTATGAAAAAAATATTCAAGAAAATAAAATACAAATGAGAAATTTAACCATTAGATTCCTTCTACTTTATACTAACCTTATATTTAGTCTAGAAAACAAACCCAAAACCCCCATTTTACCATAAATCTAGTGCATGCATTTCAAAGTTGCAATGCTAGGAATTTTGTTGAGATCAACTTAATCATTAATAACACTATATAACAGAGCATAAGGAACACATGTTATTAGATGTGCTCCTTGCCCTTTACCCTCAGATTTATGTCAGAATAAAGCTGACAATTCTGCCAGGCTCTGAACCCCCAGTACCCCCATCCCAATCCCTGGAAGCAAAAACTATGCCCTGTCACACAACTGTGTACAAGTTGTAGTAAAACTAAAATGTAGCCTAAGTTTTCTTACCTTTCTATAGGATATGGTCAGTTACTGGATAAATACTAAAATATTTCTAGCAATTCATTTTATGAGTTTGTTTACCAAACACATTGTGCAAGAACTAACTACACAAAAAGTTCCTTTGGAATTTGGTCCACAAATTCACTTAACAGTTTGGAAATTTAAAACCTATGAGAAAAAGAGAAAGTGAGGAATCCCTAATCCTGACACACCGTAATTATTAAAGGGATATACATATACTAAGCAGTTTTGCTCACAAAAGGTACAACTACAAAAGGGATATTCTTACCGAATAAAAACAAAGAACTAGCTAATGCCCTTCTTTGTTTTGTGAGCACCATAGCTAAGATGAAGTTAGACCCAAATTCACTGTCTACTCTTGTGACAAAAAAAAATTAAAGATAAAAAATTTAATTTGTCTTACTACATACTTTCTGGCCACTAACTGTGATGTAGTTATGAAAGATTAAAATTGCCTTAAAAAGGGATTGTAATAGCAGCTATCAAAGCAATACAAGCATGATTTCAAGGATGCTTTCAGGTTTAGAGTTAGCCTTCTTTGTCAAAAATCTTCACAACTTCATCAAAAACCTGTAAAGGAAAAAGACAGTAATAATTTTAAAAGCAGATATTGTTAAAATACCATATGGCTTAAAATACATCAATTTTATATTAACTTCCAAAACAGATCATTAAAAAACATATTATGACCTTCTTAGTTTCATCTGTTTTACTTTAGACAGTAATATAATATTATAAATAATACATATAAAATTGTGAACATGTTGCATGCAATTTTATTAGTGTTTTGGGGACAATACAAAACTTCTTAATCAGCTACCAAAAACTGATAAAATGCAAGTGACTTATCTTCCTAGTTCTGATTCTAAAACACTTAAGTTCTCTGAGATATTACCTCACCGCTGCAGAAAGTGGCAATGGATAAAAAACCAAAAATGACTATATAATAAAAACCTTCCAGAGAAGAAGTTCCAGGAAATTGGGGAAATACTGGGTGCACTAAAAGGCACTAGAAACAGTTGCTGGGCACTGAAGGCCTGCAAACCACAGTTGAGAGACAGCTGACTTATGAAGGAAGAGAGCAGCACTGAGCCACAGAAACCCTGTATCTCTGGAGCTCTGTGATTTTTTTCCTTTTTATTGAATTTATTGGGGTGACAACACTGGTTCACAAAACTCTACCAGTTTCAGGTGCACAATTCTACAACATCTGCACAATGTATTGTGTGCCCACCACCCCAAGTCAAGTCTCCGTCCATCACCGTTTACCCCCGCTATGCCCCCCGCCCCAGCTATGTGCTCTGTGATAGTAGGGATGAAGGCAGCCTGGGGCTCCTGAGCCAGGTGACTTGTCGGTGATATTACAATTTTTTTTAAAATGCTCATGGTCCAAACTATAGTCTCAAATGCCAATTTTCCAGTGTTTGAGAAATAAGGTTTGGCATTCATAAACCACCCATTTCTTATGAAGAACAAGTCTGAAGCTATAAATGCATCTTAGACTCTCTTCAAGAAGAAAAAGCCCAATTTTTCATTTAGTCTCCAGTGTCTTGAGGAGCAAACTATTCTGTCACAGTATTTTTTTCCTCCTGCCTACGCCCTCTGTTACAGTTTTACTCGACTTTTTTCTTTTTTTCAAAGGCAGGATAGGGATACTCACTTCATCAACAGATTTAGAAGCATCTATTTTCTTGACTTTCCCCATTTCTTCATATAAGTCAATAACTGGCTTTGTTGACTGAAGATAGGTTTGAATTCTGCAAAAAAGGCAAATATTGCAAGGTTCTAAGTAACCATCCATTCTCCCCATCTTACAGGCTAGATCAAGGACAACACTGGATTTGACCCAACTGACTCCCTTAGCATCTTCTTAGATAAGCCATTTCCCGTTATTTAAGCATGACATTTTCTTTCCTGGACCAAAATGAGACAAGTACTTAACGTGCTACTCAAGTTCCAAACTGAGGCTGAGGTGGCTTTTTGTATAAAAAGTGCAAAGTACCTCTTTTCCAAGCTCTCTCTGTTGTCATCACTCCTACCACTACTCTTTCCCCTCTCAAGACATCGCTCAATACAGATCTAAAAAGAGAAATAAATAAAAAGTTATTTTAAAAAGGAAAGAGATGAATTTGCCATTCTTTTAACCTGAAAAGAAAATAAAGTTTGAAGAGTTAAAAAAGACCTGCATTAAACCAAATGTGTCTAATTCATTAATCATCATGTAAAGTCCTTTTAAATTTAAACATGTGGTTCAATTTATATAAACTAGGTTAAATAAGTACAGAGCATAATAAGAATTAATTCATGACTCAGGTTTTCCTGTGTATTTTTTTCAAACCGCAATAAAAAGAAGATCTATATGTGTATGGTTCCATCTAGGATATATTATTAACTTATTAGGTATGAATTACATGCCTCTGACTTTGTTCCATTTTTGCTTACTTTTCAATAATTCCATAAATATCCAAATACTTAAGAATCAACATATTTGCATTTGAATAAAGTATCCCTTGTTAATCATGAATAAACATTCCTTAGTTATAAAGCTGTGGTAACATTCTAAAGTTAACTTTGAAGAATAAGTGAAAACATATTTTTGGGGGTTGGAAGAAGAGAGTTACATTTTAAAACAACTCAAAGGCTTCAGCAAGAAGGCTCCACCAGAGGCACATTTGCAATTCAACCAGCAACTTCCTTCAAGGCAGTACTTCAGATTCTTATTCTTTCAGGCTGTTGGCATTAATTTAATGAACTTTACAGGCGTGAAACAGTCAGGCCTTTTAATTAAATGACTCCAAGAAATTAATTTAGTTATTCAAAGGTATGTCTAAGTATGCTATTAGAAGTGCCAGAAAGAAAAAGAACGCTTTCCTGCTTTTTTTCCCCCCAAGATCGTTTTACTCTATGAAGACAAATCAGGCTATCTTAAATATTTCCTTAAAATAGAAAGTTTTCCCAAATTCTCCAAAATGTGTGCTTCTTTTCCAGTAAACAACCATCCTAAGGCAAGATATTCTCTGATAATAGTGCATACCTAAGAAGTAATAGGGCAGCTTCATTACCTAACATTATTGTACAAGTCAATTTTTACTTAAAAACAAAGTGAAACAAATTCTCCTTATTTAAAAAATAAAGCAAATTTTAGGTCCACAAGGCTGCTGATAAGTATTTAATACACCAACAGCAAGACAGTGCTGTTCTGTCCATCCAATGTTCCAATTCAAAAAAATACTGCTGCCAATATAAAATGTAAATATAAGTAAAAAGTCACTTTGTATTTCTCAATAGTTGACATGAAGTTGCTTAAAGCCCATATGGGCAGATGAAGATGTTCATTACCTCATTATTACAATCAAAAAACAGAACAAAAGATACATCTGCCTTCCCATCCATGGTCTTATTCCAGCCTTGAAGGTTGTCTTGATTTCTTGGAAACCCATCAATCAAGAATTTATTCTTTTGAGCATTGGCTGCCATTGTCTGATCCATTTCCTAAAGGAAAAGGAAGAGTTAGGGTCAACACTACATTAACAAAACGCAATTTCTTAAGCAGGGTAGTGGATATACTGGTGATTCTTTTACTATTATTCCTTAAGTCATAAGTAAAACATGAAGGATGCATAGAAACAAAGACTTAAAGAAAATGATCCGCCCTGGTCGATGTGGCTCAGTTTATTAAGCATCATCCCATGCACTGAGAGGTCACTAGAAAGGTCAGGGCACATGCCCGGGTTGCAGGCTCGGTCCCCAGTAGGGGGTGTACAGGAGGCAGCCAATTTTCGCTCTCACATTAATGTTTCTCTCTCTCCCTCTCCCTCCTCTCTTAAAAAAAAAAAAATCAATAAAAACAGTTTTAAAAAAGAAAAAGATCCATTATATTAACATGGTTGCCTCAAGCTGGTAGAATTATGGGTATGTACCCTTCCCCCATTTTATGCATATAAACACACAATTTTTTTATAGTTTCTAAATTTTCTGCAGGACGCATGTATTACTTTCACATACACATTCACAAAGTTATAAACAGCAAAAAGAGAAAAATAAGTATTAATCGATATCTTTGCTTCAGCCACTAGAGACCCTATCCTGACTCCCCTTTCCTCTTCCCAAGTCACTCTGTTGTGGTGAGAAGTATGCTGCCGCTAAAGGCACTCAGATTCTCTGTAATAATTCAAGTCCAATTGCAAAAAGCTTTGGAAAAATATAAAGAGACTGCTAGCATTAATGATTAGTGTAGGAGTCAATATCCTTTTTTTTTTAAACTGAAGCTATTTAAACCTAAATGCCACTGTCTACCCCCAAACACCGGCAGCAAAGAAAACAATACATTCAGAGAAAGACAGCAAGAAGAGCACATTTCACCATCTTCTTCCAAAGTCTGAATTTGGGTAGAGCATGGGAATATGTGAATGGGAGATGCAGAGCTCTAATCTCCAAATCCTTACCACTACCAATCCCCATGGGATAAGCACACATGCATGACTTAGTCAAACTCCCGAGGAGCCTCTATTCCAAAGCAAACTAACATCCAGTCCCGTGAAGTGCTCAATCTGTTTTCTAGTTCCTCGAGAGCAATGGCTGTGAGGACCCCTGATTACTTTATCTGAGGGTTGGCTTTATCCCAGCATCTAGCTTCTCCAATATTCACAAAACTTCCATAGAATTCTTTTGGACCCCTGCTATAGCATTTCTACCCCAAGTACGGTAGTGGAAGATATCTGAAGAGATACATCAGTATTCTACTCACTCAACACATTTTTTTGAGGCCAACTATCAGGGAACATGAAAAGTAAAGTCATGGCCCTTGGGGAGCTCACAGTCCAGTGGGTAACAAATACGTAATTAAAAGTGCTAAGTTCTATGATAAGGTATTAAAGATTACTATGATAAAACAAAGAAGGAAGTACAAACTACCTGGGAAACTGGGAAGCTTTACCCAAGAGGTGGCAGCGGAGCTGAATTCTGAATAGTGAAATGGCAGGGGGACGGGTCCAAGTACTTCAAGTGGTGTAAACTAGAGGTGTAAAGGCTCAGAAATGAGAAAGCATAACAGTTTTGATATGTCTGAAGGGGCTAGTACAACTAAATCTTAGGATATGTGTAGAAAGTGGTAGGAGATATGACTAGAAAGTATATAGGAGCAAGATTAATGAAGAATTTGTTATGTCACACAAAGCGATATGGTTTTTATTCTGGAAGTAATACAGGACCACTGAGGAATTCTAGAACACGCTCACATCATCTTTTAAAAACAACCACCACCACCCTGAAGGGGACAAGGAAGTTTAAGGCAAAAAGACTAATGAAGAGGGTCTAGTGATAGTCAAGAAGAAAAGGGGATCTAGACTAAGTGACAGTGATAACAGAGAAAGATAATGGAAGGATCTGCTCACCAAGTGAATCTGGGAAAGTGGGGACAGTGGAAAATACAGCATGACACCCAGATTTCTAGCTTGGGCAGTTGGGTAGATGGGCTGACAGAACCATTTACCAGGAGAGGAAATAAAGGCAATCACATTTCAGATGATATATTCAGTCTCTGACATGGTGATTTTGAGACACTTATAAGATGGTGACATGGTGATTTTTAGACACATTCAGATGGATGCCTGGCATTTAGTTAGAAACATAGGTCTGAAGGGGGAAAATGTGTGAGAGCTAGATTTGGCATCATTTGACATTGAAAGCCTTGGGCGTGGCTAAAACCACCCAGCAAGAAATATATAAAATGATAGAACCCAGGATGAAACCCTTAGAAGTATATGGTTTAGGAAACTTGTAGAAGAGCTATCAAAGGAGACTTAGGAAATAGGAGTCACTGAAGTAGGAGAGAATCAAGAAAAATGGTGTCACAGAGAACAAAGGAGCGAGTTGCAAAAAGACATTAAGCAGTTAAATGCTACAAGAAAAATGACTAAAAATACCCCCTAGATTTGATACAAATTATTGGTAACACCAGCAAGAATAGTTTCAATGTAGATGGACATAGAACCTGACTGCTAAGGGTTAAGAGTAAAAAGTGAAAAAGTAAAAAATGTAGACTAGTCTTTCACAATGCTTAGCTATAAAGTGGAAAAAGGGCATTGCACCCAGAGAATAAGGAGATTTATTTACCCTGCAACGGAAGCAGGTTACTCTAGTCTCTGAGACAAGGGGTAAGAATGTGTGTGAATGAGCTGCTCTTCATCCTCAAGTTTTTCTGGTTCCATCCAGATGCTCACATATCTCTTTTCCATCCGGCTTTAACTATTTCTCGCTGATCCCATTCTTGCATTTCTCCTTTACTGTTTCTTTTATGTGAAAATATCCGTTAATGACTACAGTCTTGGGAACCCATAGTGGAGAGTTATCATGAAAATGCAAGGTATATGTTTTTCAGGTGGGACATATTTTAGTTTGACGGCTGTTAGTCTTAGCATTTCATACTCAAGATGTTGATGCATGCACCAGAAAAGGAGATATCAAGACTGAGAGAACGGCAACAATAGGAAGGTCAAGGGAGGGAGGGAGGGAGGGAGTTTGTGAAAGAACAGAAGAGGGAGAGGAGGAGGGGGAAAAGGAGGGAGAGGAGGAGGAGGGGGAGGAAGAGGGGGAGAAAGAGAAAAAGAAACAGAAATGTTAAAGGAACTGTTAAATGCACACATATGAATGTTAAGTTGAGCCATAGCTGATCCTAGACCACGGTAGAGAATACTTGCTACTGTCCAATTTCTTCCCAAGTGAAAGTGGAATTTCCATTCTTAAACACCATGAGCATCTTTTACATGCAAGAAATTCAATACTCTGATTTTTTTCATTACTCAAAGAAAAGGTAGATTGAATTTCTCATTTCCTTGCTGATTTAAACTGGTTGGCATTCACACTCCTTACCCTCTTTAACAAACTGATGGTTATCTCAACTGGCACAATCTTTCCATCTTTAATGTACTTTTCAATGAGTTCACCATACTGTGAATCTGGGTTTTTCCTTTCATCACGAAGAAGTTCTCCTGCAGAAAGGTGTGTGTAGCCATATTTCTGAAAGAAACAACGCATGGGGGAGGGGGATCAGAGTACATTCAACCCAGTAGGACTGCTGGTTTTTTCCCTTAGTTTTAATTTCTATATTCTATTTTTCTTACAATAAAAAGCTTTGCTTGTATACTAAATAATTTAAAATTTTAAGAGAGATTTCATGCAATCTCTCAGTTTGCTTAAAAAAATATACTTTACCTACATAGGGCATGGTAGCTATAATGTTCACAAACCATGAAATCCTCCCAAAATTTATTTAATTATTCAAGGCATTACCATATCTCATTATATTCCTTCACAAACACAATCAATGTTTAAATGTTATTAACATTCAAAGAAGTGCCTAACAAATATCTATAAGATTCAAGACAAAAAAACAAAACAAAACCCAAAAACCTTACCCACATTCTATAAAATCTGCTTCCCTTCCTTAAACTCAGCATGTCTAAACTGAACTCATCAGCATTTACACAAACCCCATTCTTCTGTTTTGTTCCCCTTCTCAGTAAACAGCACAAATCCCAGTTCCTACACAAAATTAGCTTTCCTGACCACTCTGGAGAGTATCACTGTCTCTCCACCGAGACCAGTATCTTCCTTATTACTCTCAAAAGTCCATTTCCTACCTTTCTAGAGAGGTTTCATTAAAATGGGAATACAGTTATCTATTTTATAAGTTAGTGGGATGATTGAGGTAATATATGGAAATTGCATATCAGAGAGTCTGACACATAGTAGGGGATAAAAGCCATCAATTACCTCTTTGCCATTATGAAAATATTTATCTTAAATAATCTGGAAGTATTTTTACATTTTATACACACACACACACACACACACACACACACACACCATTTTTATATTATAATATGTGTATATATATTCACTTGAATGGTTTTGATAGAAAAACTAATCAAGGCGCTTAAGTGAGATAATATATATTCCTATCTATGAAAGGTCATTAAGTTTGGTATTAGGACTGTGATTAGTCATTTTTATTAAGTACTTACAAATGCTCTATCAGGTCACAGGTTACAGTATAGGGTAGCTGAGCTAAGTCATGTGAGATGCTATGGCACTGTTCTGCCATTTGCCCAAGGTCAGGGTGAGGAAGCAACATAGCCCTAAGACATCCCTCGAATACTGAAAAGCTTTCTCTGCATGAACTTGCACATTCTCTTTGGTTAAATCAAAAGAACCAGAGAATCTACTTTTCAAATGTTTTTACTTTCAAACACTCAGAAATACATTCAATGTTCAGTTACAACAATCACATCATCCTAAGTTCTTCAGATTCCCTAAGTGGGTTTTTATCCTATCTGTATAGTATACAATAAATATTTATAACTTAAATCTTACCTTTAATTTCCGTGTTAATATTTGAAACAGCCCACACTCCCACCCCCCCTTTTAAAGTAGAGGTTTCAATTGCACATTTTACAAAAACTAACTCTTTCAATTACCCAGGCTGTGGTGAGTTTTTCTTATTTTGGATTGCAGAGGCCGTATGTTCTTTACCCCTTTTCTATTTCAAAAAATTGTTGGTTAAACTTGTTTTTGCTTATTAAAGTAAGTTAACAGTAAGGTAGTCAGCAAAGGTAAACAAATTCTAAACAGTTTATTTGCTGACTAAAACTGGGCATGAAGTTTGGTGCTAATAAACAAAAACTGTATCTTTCATGTCTCTTTTAGTCATATAACTCCTTCCATTAAAAGAAATGACCGAAAGTGTATTTAGTTGTTGTAATAGGTCTTTTAAAATATCCCTATCATGTAGAGAAAATATTTAATTATGTAAACTGTTATTTTAAAGTTATTTCCACACCACACCATTTTTAAATGCCTACTTTGTTCACCAAGTATAAGCAAACTTTTGAAAGATGGATGTAGAAAGGACTTTATAAAAAATGAGGTGTTACGTACTTTCCCATTTATTATGTACAACTTTCAAAAAGCATTTTGCATACACTGTCCACAAACTTTTATAGCAGCTTCGTTTCCCACTGCTTACTTTGGCTCCTGCTTGGAAGTCTATGCTTGCCGGCTGCTCTCATCTGGTCTAGAGATTACAGCAGATGGTAACACTGAATAGATGTGGAGACAAACAGTGCTAAACAATGGCAAGTGCTAAGTGAAACACCAATACAATTGCTGTGTATGGGCTGCCTCTGCTATACGAAAAACACAGACGTTTAGAGCCCAGCTAGTAATTTAGAAATTAGTCCATATACAGTTTCCTAACATTGCAGGACTCAAATTTGCAAGCTTTATGTTGTTGCATTAAAATGGGTTTGGGCATACCACTTTTTTAGTGAAACTCACTGCAAACTGTAGAGGTACCAGTGATATTTTAAAAAATAATTAGTCTGTCAAAAGAGAGAACACCTTACCTGCAAAGTCCAAGGAAATTAAATAAATATAACATATTAAGCCTACACATGTCTTTCTACTTCTCATCCACATTCCATTTTTTAAAATCTCCCACTTGCCCGGCCGGGCGTGGCTCAGCGGTTGAGCGTCGACCTAGGATCCAGGCGATCGGGGTTCGATTCCCAGTCAAGGCACATGCCCGGGTTGCAGGCTCAATCCCCAGTCAGGGCATGCAGGAGGCAGCCGATCAATGACTCTCTTATCATTGATGTTTCTCTCTCTCTCTCCCTCTCCTTTCCTCTCTGAAATCAATAAAGATATATTTAAAAAATAAAATAAGATCTTCCACTTACCAGTTACTTTTTTATACTATATTTTTATTAAGGATTTTGCAGTAGCTGTCCCCTTACCACAGTTCCTACAACAAAAAAGCAACTATCATTTACATACTAGTTATTATGGTATTTTACTAATAGCTACACTTTAAAGAGCATGTTTTCAAAGCATTCAGCTGTCATTAAGAAATCACTGATGCCAACTTTGAGGAAAGCAAGAATGGATATTTCTTAGGCTTAAACAAAACTTTTTCACATTCTCTGAAACTTCCTAGCAATTAAAACCTAATGGGTCACTAACTAGTCTTAAGAGCAACATTCAAAACCACAGCAGGTTATAAATACTATAAACTATAATTACTTGCAAGCTACTATTCAACTAAAAATAGTTTTCTAGAGACAAATGTATAAGTAATTCATTTAGAGTAACAGTCTTAATGTTTTACTTTTTCTCCTTTAACACGCTGAAAAACAACTCAACCTTTACGAACCATACACTAAGATTTGGAGGGAGAAAAAAAGCACCATGTTCTCCGTAAGTACAAAATGGCATTCTATATTATGACAACTAGGCAAATGTTGACAAATAACAGTATAAAATTTAAAATAATATAAAAAAGTGATAATGGTATAAAATTTCAAATCATCTTGATCAATTTCTCTCACTTCCTAGCAATTGTCTTTCCTTCTTTCTAAATTTAGCTAATGTGGATCTATGTGAACAAAAACAACAACGAATAAAGAGTTCAAGGTAAATGGCAAGTCCTTGAAAGCAAGAAGAGATCCAGATGCCAGGCACCTCCTCCTGCTAGTGTGCCAATCAGAAAGTGCCACTGGACTGCTACTGAGCCTTGTATTACATAGAGGGAGCATAACAGAGATATTACATACAAATATATTTTTAAAACAAACCAGAAGGAAGAAGTAAATCTGTCAATATTTGTATATGACATGATCCTGTATATAGACAACCCTAAAGATTACACCAAAAAACTACTAGAACTGATAAATGAGTTCAGTAAAATAGCAGATTACAAAATAAATATCTAGAAACCAGTAGCAGATTACAAAATAAACTACCAGAAAGGGAAACTAAGAAAACAATCCCATTTACAACTGCATAAAAAAAAAAAGTTAGGCATAAATTTAACCAAGGATGTAAAAGAGCTGTACTCAGAAAATTATAAGACACTAAAGAAAGAAACTGAAGAAGATACAAATAAGTGGAAGCATATACAGTGTTTATGGAGAGAAAGAAGTAACATCATTAAAATGTCCATACTCCCCAAAGAAATCCATAGAGTCAATGCAGTTCCTATCCAGATACATTCAATGGTATATATCACAGAACTAGAATAAATATTCCAAAAATTTTTATGGAACCACAAAAGACCCGGAATAGCATAACAATCTTGAGAAAGAAGAAATTGGAGGAATCACACTACCTGATATCAAACTATACTACAAGGCCATAGTAATCAAAACAGCCTGGTACTGGTATAAAAACAGACTTATAGATCAATGGGACAGAATAGAGAGCTCATAAATGAACTCATGCGTTTATGGTCAATTAATACTTGACAAAGGGGGCAAAAACATACAACTTAAGTCAAATATTACACTTAAGTTTTTCTCCCACTGCATAGTCTTTTTAAAAATTTATTTAAATAATGTTAACCTTTCTTTAATGGTGATTATAGGAAAAACCTAAATATAGTCCAGTCACTAAATGGTGCTGGGAAAATTGGACAGATATGTGCAAAAAAATTAAACTAGACCACCTTCTTACACCATACACAAGAATAAACTCAAAATGGATTAAAGATTTAATGTTAGACTCAAAACCATAAAAATCCTAGAAGAAAACATAGGCAGTAAAATCTTGGACATTTCTAGTAGCAATATGTTTTCTGATATATCACATTTGACAAAGGAAACAAGAAAAAATAAACAAATGGGACTATATCAAACTAAAAAGTTTTTGTACAGCAAAGTAAACCATCAACAAAATGAAAAGATAACCCACTGAATTGGAGAACATATTTGCCAATGATACATCTGATAAGGAGTTACTACTCAAAATTTAAAAGCACTTATAAAACTCAACACCAAAAAACCAAACAATCCAATTAAAAAATGGGCAAAGGACTTGAAAAGACACTTCTCCAAAGAGGACATACAGATGACCAGTAGACATATAAAAAGATGCTCAATGTCACTAATCATCTGAGAAATGAAAATTAAAACCACAATGAGGTATCGCCTCACACTCGGAATGGCCATCATCAATAAATCAAC